AAGGCCGATGGCCAACGGTCCACCCCATGACAGAAATTTACCATCAGGTGCACAAGCACCTGTCAGAGACAAGGCCCCAACTACACCACCAGTCACAGCAGCAGCTCTCAGCACTAATGGACCTCTAAGTGACATGAAAGGGGCAATAAAGGTGCCTACAAGAGCACTGTGACCTGGACACAATCAGACATCAAATAAATTAAACTTTCTACTTGATCACTGCACAAACATTAGAGTATCTTTTCTACCACAAAAGTGATAATGAATTATCATGATTGATAATAAGTAGTTATGAGACTGACAGATCTGCCTAATTTCCTTTATTAAATTACATCCTTTAACCCTTTAACTCCCCTAAGTGACCAAAACAGAATTTCTCCTTACAATATCAATACAATATCAACCAGATAAGTGATGAGAATGAAGAAAAATATCAATTTCGGGATAATTAGTTGATCCAATACTAAATTCTCTAAACTAACATTATAATAATTGTATGGTTGACAGTGAGGAGAATTACAAATTTGATGTGGGACGTAAAGGGTTAAGGAACTGCAACATACAAGTCATAATCTTGAAAAACTTTGGTTATGTAGTAATTTATAACAGCACAGTAGTCTTTTAACTGTGTATTCTGCTGCATTAATTTACCTCTTACATCTAGAGTCCTTTGTTGCTGATTGTTGAGATTGCTAATAAATTTTTCTTGCTGAATTGTGTCACAACCTCATAGGTATTGTTTGATTTTCTATGTACAACTGTAATTGGTTTTTGCAAAACTACAATCTACCTTTTTTGAAAGAGTTCACTTTGGTGCACTCGACTTGTGCAAATAGAAAAAAGAATGAATGAAAGGATAGATACATTTAAAGAGATGTAAATTGTTAGCTTCTGCTTGCATACATTTTGCTTTATGGGAAATACGAAATTGTAACATTAACCACTTCTTGTTGTTGAAAATCAAGCACTTAGGCATGGCTGAATTGACCTTGCCATAATGTGGTCAACACTGTAAGGCGTCAGCTGAAGCTTTGTCCATTATGATCACAACCTCACCCTCAGTCAATAAGTACATGTACCAGTTGTTAATATTTTTTGTTTTACAATATATAAAAATCATCCACAGTTTGCATGTACATTGAGACAAAATTTTTGCATGTGAACAGATTGGAATATTTGTTAACTTACCAACCCAAGCAATATGCTTTGCATTCAGCCCTGATTCATGTGGCAAACTCATACACAATATAGAGCTGCCTATTGTAGCAATAATTCCTCCACCCACAACCTGTTGATTATCAACAAAATGGTTTCACTCCACAAAGCAATTAAATAATACTTCTCTAACATGAAGGAAAATCATGAGCTGCAAGTGAGTGCGCGCTGACTTGTTAGTTATCAAAACACATAGGTTGAAGCCCTTTTTTGTAAACACAGGGAAAAAAAAGGCTGATTAGGGCATACATTAACATGCTCAATTACTTACCAGCCATGGATTTGCCCTCTTCAGGGTAACTACTGCTCTGCTTTGACTGGTAATATATGCTGACACTGCTGTTACGGCAAGACTTCCACCAAAATAAGAGTATGGTGACTTCCCATAATCATGTAACGCCTGAGGCCATACCATAGCACCCGTCTTATTGGACAATCCCAACCTATAACACAGGGCTCCCACACCAAACAAGGCAGCCCCACCAACAGCCACACGACCAGTTGTTTCAGCTGCAAGGAAGACTTTTTTCTTAATAAATGAAAGCTGGCCTCTCTGAGCTGTACAATCCCCCTTACATAATATTCTGAAGGGAACAGCTCATGGGAAAATACATGTATCAATTATGGTCCTTCAACATGCTGTGAATGTCCTAGGATGTT